GACACCTTGCTCAAAGAAGAACCTAATCTAGGAGCGCGAGTAATGACTTGCTTATTGGATATAGCTTGCAGGGAAGACAACTTTGAGAAGCCTGGGCTTTCCTGGTATCTTCCGTTCCATACGATATACGGTGCATGGTAAGTACAGTTAAAGTCATGATTGACTTTTTGAAAACAGACTGTAGACTTGAATTCAGGAACACCGGCTATAACAATGTTTTGTGCATTTGATAGATAAAATGCTAGACACATACAAAAAGAGTCTCAGAATTTTTTCAAGTTTTTAAACACTATCCGGTTTCGGGGCTAAGAACTATAGTGAACTAGTAGTGCAGCTTCCCTGGTGCCCCTCATCAGTAGTTCCCAAGGAAGCCTATGTTTCATCTCCATTTCACTTTCGGTTGAACTCGGCACGCTTCAACTTACATTTTTCCGCTCGTAGCTGCGAATTTTCTTTGATTATCTCTCCCATCTTCTGATCGAGCTCGGTGTCTTCTTTCCAGCAAAGTATCGGCCATGATCTTCAGACAGTTGGGCAGTGCCTTTTCAGCCGTCAAGGCTTGAGGCGTTGTGCAGAAGTTTCAGCAGCAGTCAGAATAGCAATCTTGAAGTATTCCTTGGAGCAAAAATCAGCAGAAATGCCTTTACAAGGCGTGGGTGTTGCCGTAGGGTTTTTCTTGGAGGCCTTTGATCTAGTAGGCATGCTAGGGAAAATGACAACCGGCTATTGTAAAAGTAAGATGCCGAATGAAGGTTAGTTCATAGCATGTGAAAGTACGGAACTCACCTTTTTGTCGCTAACGAAGATCTTGATCATCCTGGCTTTGAAGAGATCACGGACTTGTCGCTGGTCGCGGCTTGGAGCTGGTGTTAAATTACTATTTTGATGCTTTGTGGCAAATTCCTTGAGAATGGCATAGTCAGAAGTTGCAAAGACACAGAACGTTAATTACCATGCCTAAGTGCCTGCGGTTTGAAGAATTTTGGAAAGGATATAGCGGGTAGAGGACTCACAACCGCGTTTCACCGCTCGTCATTTGCCTTTCGCCGCATTTCCTCGTGAACAAATTGGAGGCTGCCTACGATTTTGCGTGATACCTAGGTCCTACTGATCCTACTGATTGTACTCGTGCAAAACTTGCACCGAGATTCAAAACTGAGATCGCGTCATATGATAGGAGTGCGTTGCCGCTGATAGACACTGTAACTATCTGGCACTTCCGAGGAGCTTTCCTCAGTACAGTCTGGATTCTCATTATTTAGGGACGTACTAGCTGATGCACGTGTTGACTCTCTCCCTAACTAGCTAGCCACCTGAACTTCTCCTTCTATCTACACTTAGGCATCCGAACGAATGTGATCACAAATGTATCTCGACCCACCCATAATCCTCCTACAAAGTTTTCGAGCACGAGACATTGACAACACTGTTCTATACGAATATCTGAACAATAGCGAAAACATATAATGCTCTGTCTTTAGCGCAGCGTGCAGTGGTTTCTGTTCGATCTCTCGTATCTGCAGGCAGTACCTGGAGAGGCCGTTAGGGCCGCGAAGTCGCTCGCTTGCTATAAAGTTGGGAATGACTGGTGGTCTGACAGCGGCGTAGGAAGTTGAGTGCTTGATTTCCGAAGAGATGTGCTGTCTTGAAGAAGGGTCCTTTACTATTCGAAAACACCTCGGTGGTATATCTCGCGGTCTAGCTCCAACTGTTGTTAAATCTTGGCATCGATATATATCGTGTGTATGTTGTTGAGCAAACGACCGATGGCAACTTCTCAACATTAACTTCGGCCAACATCTTGGCGCTATCGCTTTCGTCAGAACCCGGAAGTCGAAGACACCAGGACTGTGGTGGTTCAATGAGTATTCCATTGTCCTCTCGTGTCCCTGTTAACAGTAGAAAAAATATAAGGGTTTACTGAACAAGTAATCAGGCCGGTGTCTCCGACGCACGACAAAATGTAGACTGAGCCCGATATTGACCAGCAGGGACTGGCCCAGATGGACACAAAGAGTCAGCCGTATGACGGAATTTTTGTGTCAAGTTTACGACAAACATATACACAACGAAAGGATGAAATTTGGGCATCGGTGTGTTTTATCACAACAAGGAGCTCTTTCCTCTTTCCTGAAAATGGTATCGAGCTTGAGTAGCTTTATTTCAGTCATGTTTAAAAACTGACCTGCAGTATTCTTAACGCTAGTGGGAGGCTTTCAAGCGTTCTCTGCCCGGGAGGTGATTCCAAACATCGAATTTCTATGGTATTCGCTGCTTCATAGTACTAGGATAGAACGCTGGTTAAAAGTTATTCGGTCCACAAAAGTTGGGTTGTCATGACAGCCCCCCCCCCCCCCGTTGCCAACTGAACAGAACAAGCAGGCCCCCCCCCCTATACGAGGTGTAGTCGTGTGCACGTCGATCTAATCGAATGAAGTTCCTTGATGTTAAAATTTTAGTAAGAAAACTCAGGTAACTTGCATGTCGGTTTGTGACGTTGAAAGAACTCAGCTATACAAAGCTTCCCCAAAGATCCGGTAAGCAGGGAAGACGGGTGCACGCCTTGGATGTCGTCGGATATGCCATCTTAGTGCAAGTGCACATGTTGTGCAATAGCTGGACGGCAAGAGCCGAAAGGGGGAACACGCGGAAGGCGACAAATGCCCTGGAACATGCACGACTAGTGGCCACGCCCTGTCCGAGTTCTCGTCAACACTCGTCCTTCCAATCTTTGTACTGGAGCGCGTCTGCACGCTTTCTACATGTTTCGGTTCTTGTGTGATACATTTTTGTCTCTGTTCTTGTCTATCCTTTACGGTTCTATATTTTTCACCTTTTGTGTGAACATATCTGCTTATAGGGGTATGAGATGTATCATTGATGCGGGAGTTCCTCCATGTAGTTGCACATATAAGCGAGCAAGAGGAGTCGTCACTTGACTCATCAGAGGTATGACCTTTCTTGTGTTCTGTGCTCTACTTTTCCATTTCATCATTTTCTTATTTAGATATCACCTTATGAATGTCCTCCCCCTATTAGCTAGCCTTTTCGTTATCATCAAAATGTTTGCGCGACTCAATCATTCCATTTTAGTTGAGATATTCGAGGAAGGCTTTCAACTTCGTGCGCCATTGCTATGGACTTATAAGGTAAGAGCTCTCACTCATTCGTTCTGCTTGAACTTCGCCGATCGTTTTTTTTTTTTTGAAGGATGGATCTCACGCCTAAGTGCAATCGAACAGAGGAGAGCTCAAGGGCCATTGACGTGAGCATTGTGTAAACTCTGCTACTTACACTCGAGTTATCAAAACCAAATTCTACTTAAGTTTAACTTTTGTGTATTCATATGTTTTTTATTTTAGCTATCTTAACGGTCCTAGGTTCTTGCCTTTTCTTGAAGAGATGGTTAGACTTAACATGACTTCATTGACTTGTAAGCAGTATTTCTGTATACATAATGGTCCCTGATACCGTTGTCGATAATGACTATGTGGAACAAATAGACTTACAAAAGTACTTTACAGGGATTTTTTGCTTTTGAGGTGAAGTTGTACTCTACATTGCCGAGTGATACTATCATTTTCTCTTTTTGTCCTATATCTGGTGCGATTTTGTTGCGAATGAAGTTGTTTTTCTTTCTGCCCTGTCAAACGAAGAATAGTGAGCAGAAAAAATAAGATGAACTTAAGTATTGACAAAGGCTAAATTCTGAAAGATATCGCGGCTATATTGAGTTCGAGGTCCGGCTGGATACAAATTGAATTTGACATTTTGCCTGAAAATGAGGATTCTTCTTTGAAACCCGAAAGAAAACTGCTTTGCAGCATTTATTGTGTTTGATTCATCTCTATCCGAATAATAGCTACATAATTGCATAGAACTGATGCAATTCCGTTATTCTTATTCAATGCAGAAGCTAATCGAAATGTCATCGGCTTCCAGATTCGTAGAGGTGTGGAGGCGGAGTCTTGCCATCTCACAGCGGGGCGGTTTTTGCTAGCGAGAGAGTACGAAAAGCAATGCTATAACATGGAGGTTCAACAAGTTTATCCTTGTTACCAAACAAAGTCTGCAACACACCTCCACACGAACCTGGCAACTGATCATATGCGTGAGTTAGATGATGACCGAAATTGAATTTCGCTGCCAAATCTCACACTCAATCAGTTAGCTATCAGCAAACAATCTACGGGTCTACAACTTGCGTTACGTAACTTTCCTTATACACTGAGTGATCACATCTACCAATTTTACACAACGAACTCTTATGGACAAAACAGAGTAGTCGAAGAGGGCACCGCCACCATTCAGGTGCCAGCCTATGCGCCACAAGAGCGTCAATCTGACTAATTGACTCGAGGCCAGCACTAAACAGCAGGCAAATGGGAGGCGTGGCCATCGTTCCCTCGCCTCCGCTGGGTTTTGTCGCCTTCCGCACCACACCCGCCGAAAGTGTACGAGCGGCCGGACCTTCTTGTTTCTTCTGGCGTCAAATTGCATTCAAACATCATGGGAGGGGGGGGGGGGATGATCATGCTAATTCCTGTTAGGGTGTTCGCCTTAGCTAATAAGACTAATTGTAAGATGACAGAGTAAGCAGAAATCTTTTATATCCTCAGCGGAAAATGGATCCAAGGCCTGATAATCAGTGGAAGCTCCAAGGTTTCTGCTAATCTCTACCTGCTAGATGGAGGCTGCATCTGACAGTCTCTTCTGTGGCAACGGTTTGGGCTTACGCGACCGCCTCGCTCGAAGCTTGTGAGCCCGTTGACGTATTCTTCTTCATTTGCCGCTTAAGCTTGCTAGGATGCCCATGTGTGGAAGACGCAGTCCCAAATTTCATGTCTTTCAGGACTCTTCGGTAAAAGAGACATGAGGACAACTAGGGGAGGGGAGGGGGCAGATAGCATTATCGATGCTTTAAGTAGAATTCTGGGATTTTACATTGCTTGCATTTTGCGCGCATTATCGCCTTTTAACTCCCAGAGTGCCCAAATGGTATGCCGCTGACGCAGCGCAAGCTTCGAGCGAGGCGGCCGGGCAAACTTCAGCCGCTCGCGCAAAGTACATTAGCATTGTTATAGCCTGTATACGGTGATTTTATTAATTTCAGCTGCTTCTCAGCTGGGTATTCTCTATTTTCATCATATATCTAGGTTGCATGCCCACAAAACTTGAAGAACTGAAGTGGGCGGATGATGAGTTAGTGCAGAAGCGCCTTGCTGAAAATGGTTTCAGTAACGATGAAGCATTGAAAGACATCACGCGATCGGATAGGACAGCGCACGTTTATGAGGGAGGATTTAAGGTAGCATCTGAACTTATTTTTTATTTTAATTATCTATTATCTCATCCTGTTCATACCTTGCAATGTTATCTCATTTCACCAGATCTGGGAATGTTGTTACGACTTGTGCAAGTTGATTGAAGCTGAATCGTCAGATATTCAAGGGAAGCGCATATTGGAAGTAAGTTATTAGTTATAGTCCTGATGTTACTGTTTAATTTTCCAAAATGAAATATTCCAATCAAAAAGAACGGATTTAGTTCAGCTTGGTTGCGGTGCAGGTTTGCCGGGTATCTTGTGTGCCCTTCGTGGCGCTGCGCACGTCACATTTCATGACTTTGTGAGTTTCTTCCTTCACCCTGATTCTTTTTGAAATTTCATTGAAGTTATCAGTATAAACTGCGATTCGCTTTTGTGTTTCAGAATGAGTGTGTTGTCCAATGTTTTACTAAAGAAAACTTGCGGCTGAACTCAGTGGGAGAGTCGCAGTATCGACTACTCAGTGGCCCTTGGAACGACTTCCAGTCCTGTTTTGAACCCAGAGGGTAAGCTCATGCTTTTTTACTTCATGCTTGAGAATTTGTTGATGCCTTCTAGACGCAAGTAAGAAAATTTTCATGCAAAATATAGATTCAAGAGTTGGGAATCGGTCATCATAGGTATGACATCATCATCACATCCGAGACTATATACAACATCGAGGATTACGAGGCACTTCACAATGCTTTTGATTATGCGCTACCACCAGCGGGCGTAATGTGAGTCTAAGGCTTTAGTTTCATCTTTGAAGTAAATTTTTACTTTTGACGTTTTCGATTCCTTTTCATTCATTGCATTGTCCAAACGCTTTTATGAGGTTCCCATAGCATACCTTTTGGGTATGATAAACCTGACAGTCTACAGACCTACTTGGAAGTGTAGAAGTTTGTTTTACTATTTCTAGGCCTCGAGCAGAGTTCATAGATTTCACCGTTGCGATTCATCGCGACAAGACAAATGTTATGAGTTCCTTGCCTGCCGATCTTCTTGTATCTCGTTTGTGATAGTCGTGTCGGAAAACTATCACAATCGAAATGCGAGAAGATCGGGAGGTAATGGACTCATAACGGTTGTCTTGTTGAATCGCATGATGAAATCGCGTGAACTCTGCCCAAGGCCTTAGGCTACGCAATCAAACTTCTAAACTCGGCAAGACAGCAAGAGGTTATACGGAAATCATGACTTATTTGGCGCGATCCCTTCTTTGTCGATGTGTATAGTCGAACTTAGGCAGCAAGCTCTTTAATGGTCCTGCTATTTATATCCCAAATCTCTGTTTCTGCCTTGACTCCACATTCTTGTGTACTTAATCTAAAATTCTAGATGGGTGGCAGCCAAGATCTTCTACTTTGGTGTTGGTGGCAATGTTCCTGCGTTCATGGAGTACGTTGGAAAACGAAGCGTCTTCAAAGCAACCATTAAGGAGACAATACAAGCCGATGTGCAGAGGGCAATTGTTGAACTCCGTCGCTTGTAGGTAAACCACTTCGTAGATGTTTGATTGTTGATTTGAGGTTGTTGTTTTGTTTTGAATAAAGGTTTAATTGTTCAGCTTTGCAGATGTTTGACTGGTTTTGAGTTTGTCCAGGAATGTTTACCGGTATTTGTGTCAATGTAGCAACGATGTCAAATTTTAGTATGCTAATTTGGTGTGTTTTGCACGGCTTGGAAAGTTTATATCTCTAAAGAGCTCTTTAATCATTGCTTTTTATTTGTATTTTGGCCACCTTTTTCTTGCTGCTCTACCTCCTAGCTAACTATCTGGCTTAGTCAACTTTTGCTTTCCAGATCTTTCGACATTATCAACCCAAAACTTATCTCACTGTACTCATAATCTTTCAGAACCTCTGTACTTGAGAGGTTCTGGGCATAACTTTTTGAAGCAGAGTCGTCGGCAAAACTTGAAGTGTGTATAATATTTGTCCAGTACATCTTCATTTTGCAGGTTTTCGAAAGTTTCGACATGCATTTTTTTATCTAACAATCTTTGATGTTCTTCGTTCGGTTACGTAATCTTACGCGCTTTCATGTAGCATTGATTTTTGGCTTATTTTTTCGAGCAATCCTCGCTTATCATTCAGAATTTCACTTTTCAGCCCGTGGCGCGTTTTGTTCGTCTGCTTATTCATTCGGCACTTCACATCCGATATTTCCTCACTAAAAACGCAATCTTTTCAATCGTTTCCAAATCCACGCTTTGCTGTCAAGCTTGCTGTAACGCAAACATTCATCTCTATGGTCATTGTGCTTGACGTTGACTCATTCGCAAACATAGGTAGGCTTTTGACGCACATTCGTTGTGACAATAGTATTCGAACCTCTCATCGTGTTTGTTGGTGTTGATCTGTGACTACGGTCTGGATCACGTCTCCCTTGTTGCACTCATGCACTGCTCTGCTCTGCTTTTGCAGTCCTGAATTTCAGTAAAGCATCGATTTTCCTAGAAGTCAAGCTTTTTCATGCTGTAATTGAGTTGATTCGCAATTTGAATTCCTGCACTCTATCGCGATTCGATGACGTTTAATCGACTTCGCTTTTTCTTCTTCTGACTGAGCTCATTTACTCTTTGCGAGAAGATGAAAGGGCAAAATGTTTCCTAATCTGCTATTATTCGACCTATACTCTCCAAAGTTAAGCTTTGTTTGTCGTCTTTGGTAGATTAGGGCATGATTTTAGCGATTTGTAAGGAAAAAGCAAAGTATCAGTAATTGTTGAATGTAATCGAAAAAAGGCGTAAACGAAGCAGGGAGCTCATCAGCCTTTTTCATTCCCGCTTGAGTTTTCACAAAGTTTCTGCACTTTATATTGGTTTTTACTGGTTTATACGGCGACGCTCGCACCTATACTTCAAAGGAACGATAGTTTTAAGAAATTGTAACTTGCCCATTTTGTGAATATTTGGGATTTGACGTCAAGTGCAACAGAAGACAAAGCATTAGAAAAACGTGCAAATAAAAAGTGCGGGTGAGCCGGTTTCTTGACATCCCCTTCCTCCTACCGGATAATTTTCGACGCAAGCAGGGTATGGGCTTTGAATGCGATTCCATATTTTACTACTTTGATACCATTATCTCGTTCGTGACTGATGTTTGACTAAGATTCTTATCTACAGTCATTTTTTATCCTTAGGGATCAATTTTATCGAAGCTCGGCACACTTGTGAAATACGGCACTTCTTGTTTTCATGTAATCATATCGAAGCTTGTTAGCTGATATAAATATGACATTTCTGAAGATAAGGAATGCCTGTTGGATCCGACTACACCGAAAGCCGATAACATGCGAGATCTCTGAGCTAGAACTAGTTTCTTCATAATTGCTCGATTTCGTTGTCGAGAGATTCCCACTATTGATCACGGATGAAAAGCGTGATGTACGTCGAACAGCTAGTAAACTAAGAATAGAGCGTCTTGATGTTTTTTGATACTCTGCAGTCATTCGTCGTCATATGCCGAAACATGAAATAAACTTACTGCATAGTTACTGCACGAGTCTGAGTCATATTTGCTTTTACAATCACCAACCAGACTTCGGCTGACTCACCTTTTCGTACTCATTTTTCTATCGACTCTTTCCTTACTCAAAACCAGATTACAGCTGATTCAACTATCACGTCTCCTTTTTTTGTCCGTCAATGCCTTATCTATGTTCACTTTTCGTTCTTCGTAACATTTAGTGACGATAAGATGGAGGTCTTGTAATGAAATAAATAATCCGTCCAGTTCATTTATTTGTCGGCTATCGCGGAATAACTTCTTGGGAAAATTACTACTTTTTTTTTTTACAAAATTGTTCCTCCTTCTTTACTTTTTCTACGCAATTGTTTCTACATTTTCCTATATATTCGTATTTTTGTTGAGCTGACAGGTAGCTTTTTTGGTGGACCAGTTTGGGCTTTTTCAGGTAGATACGCGACCATTTTGTATCGCTGTTACGCTCAAAACTAGACCGGACAAGATTTTCCTCAATTATTTTTGACATTTATTGTCGTAAATTGACAGTTTCGGGTCATTATTCTCCACTTTTTCTCTGTCTCGCAGTATCGCCTCATTCTTCTTTTTTTCTCTGATTTATTTCTATCAAATTTGTCACTTTTTATAGTCTAGTTCCTTATCGTCTCAGAAACGAACAAATCTTTTCGAAGGAATGCGAATAGCTGAAATTTCCCACTGAACTTGATAAACCACTATTCAGTTCAATTCGTACACCACTTGATTAGCGTAGTGCAATGTGTCCGATGATAAATAGTCGGTCTGACAACCTCGTGACAAGAAAATTTGAAGAAATTGCACTTTAAATCAAAGCTAAAACGTTATGTTCTTTCAGTTGGGTAGAGCCTAATTCTTCTTTTTGATAAAGGATTGTTGGTTTGAAGAAGTATGCAAGTTATGTCTGGTATATGGCATCTTTGCTGTTCTTTCTATCTATTGCTGCTTGCTGATCTTTCATTTCCCTGAAATATGATCCTAATTGGTCCGGAGATTTGGTAGGGGACATTACGGCTGCACTTTTCCATTTGATAGTAATGTAACTTGAATATTTGTGCAGAGGATGCGGTTGATCTCATGTTAATGGTCACTAGCTTATTATGTTTGTTACTCTCTTTCTCTTTACCATACTTCTTTTTAATCCTTGACTTCGATTTTTCCTATTTTTCTGCTGTGTCGAAAATTTTATGAGCTTTTTTCAACCTCGGCACTTCAATTTGGAATTTTTTCTCCTGTTTTCTTAAATCCAGAAGTATTTCTAGTTATGAAGGATGTTTCTTCAGAGGACAAAACCTATACCCTGAATAAACAGAATTCCTGTTTGTTGCACCACTCTAGTGGGCAACTACTTTATCTAACTCTGCTGGGGAAACAAAAGCCTGAAAAGCGACTATCGGAGAAACTGATATTGTTCGGAAGCGAATGCTATGGCTAGGACATTCATGAGAACATATAAACGCTGCTGTTGGCATTCCTTTCATTCATCTTTCCTCCTACAAATAGATTGCGGAATGTATGACGGGACATTATGGAAAAGGTAACGAAAGTGGGGGAAGAAGGGAGAATGTTACAAAGAATGAAAGTTTGTGATCTACCAAATGCTGAAACTGTTTGGAAGATTATGTGGGAGGAGGGGAGGGGGGGGGAGGAAGATTTTTGCTTTTTCTGATATTTTCATGCACTGTTTGGATGGGAGTCGTGATGAGCATGTGCATACCGTTGAAAAATCCAACCTTCAAGATTACTTCTTACTTTCTTTTTTTCTGCAGTATACTATTTTGTTCTAACAAACAATCTCTTCTTCTAGCATAAATATTAGATTCTACATTCCTAATTGCCAGTAATTTGAGAGCACCTTTTTGGCGGTCACGAGCGCAACCTTTTTCCGTATTAAGAAACCACGAAAGGTCATGTGAGTCACTTGTCTCCTTTTCCTATCTGGCCCTCTTCTCCTACACGTTAGCTTCCGCGTTTTTCTAATTGTAAGTAGAGAACCACTTTTTTCGTAGTAAACATAGCTCTCAAGGCTGTAGAATTGCTTGAGGCGCCACCAATGTCATGCTGCAGTGCACTATGGGCACTGTTAAAGTGCTGGTTAAGTAAAAAATCAAACTTTGGTCAAAATTGTATGCAGTCGTACAATTTGAATCTCGCTAGACCCTTTTAAAACATCATTCGACTTGCTAATTGCAAGATGATATTTATTTCTTGTGTTTGTGTTGTTTTGTGAGATCAAGAGTAGGGCACAATCGTCAGTGCCCTGAATTTCAATGAATATTCGTATAAGTACTTGCTTATCATGCTTCAAACATCTTATCCATTCGTTGAGATAAAGCTTTTTTTGATGTTAGGGTAAGCCTTATCTTTGATATACCGTAAAGATAATAAGATGTTTGTGGATCTGATATCCATGATCTAATCATGTAAAGTATTACATTTCACTGGCTTCTGAAAACATGAGCAATTTCGTACAAGTACCTCAATTTTTCGGCAAGGCTTTGCCATGTAGAATGATTCAATTTTCGTACGAAGCTTGTTTGATGGTCGCGTGTTACCTCAGCAAAGTAGAATTTTGTGCAGTTTTGAGTTGAATTTGTGTAACTGAGCCGGAGAAAACATCATCTTATAAACAAGTAAATATTTATAGTTCAACATATAAAATGAGTCTGAGTCAACGCCATAAGCTGCAGCTGCATATGGTGAGCAAATTTACACATTATCGACCGAACTCAGTCAGCAGTAGCTATTTTTGTCCGAGTAGCGCACTGCTCCATCTCAACCGCCCTTTTCTTTCCACGAGTAAGCATACTGCTGCAAAATGTCCGCGATAATTTTGCACACAAGAAGACGATTCAGTCACGAGATTTCTGTTCCTGCGTATAGTTTTCTCAAGAATATTTTTCATATTTTTTCGATCATAAGTACACTAAGCCAAAGATTCGTTCTGGATTACCTCTCTCTACTTTTCGTTATCTCGTGTAATGGCGATTCTTGTTGATGTTTTGGGATGAGGAGAGTCTATTGACTAATGTCGGCAATTACCATGAGACGAAAGGCGCACGAGCCTGTGCAATCAGCTGATTCTCTCTCTTTCTCTCTCTCTCTTTCTCTCTCTCTCTATTTTGCATGTCTGCAACTTTTTCTCTATCCCATCTTTTTTCGCGGAATATCCGCCCAAGCAGGGAAGAGTCTGCTCAGCCTCCGACGTTTTGCTGTGCAAACATCGCTCGAATTGATACACTTTTGGGCTCGCCATTAGTTTGCCTTGCAAATAAATGCTTTTTTCTTGGTACTGACTTCCGTCTTCCTTATTTGTTTCCCTTTTTTTTGACCAGTGAATTATTTCGCTGAATTCATCGCGGCTAGTTTTTCTTGAGATTTTTTAATAATTCATTGGTCGTTTTGGATTCTATCGCTC